ATTAAATCTTACTCCATTTCCCTTCACCCCCATCCTTATCGGAATAGCAATATATGTTTATTTTACCTTATTCATTAGGACAAAAAACCCACAAGTTTATTTTTCAAGTATTTTACCCAAATAAACCATGCCAAAGAGAAAAAAGAAAAAGCTTAATTTCCTTACACATGAAATCCAGTACAGTGTGCTTATCAGTGGGAACATGGGGCAATTTTGATTGGAGATTTCTCCTATTCTGGGCCTGTATTACTTGCTACATGTTCTCCAGGGCAACATGACAAATGCCACTGTGACAATAGAACCAATGAAACAAAACCCCATCTGGTTTGTATTTGCTCCCAGGTAGGGGTGAAGCCATATCAATTCCAGAAGCCCAAGAAATGAAAATGTAGAAGCAGCATTGCTTTGACTCAGGAGACTCATACACAGTTTTGTCTCTGCCACCAAGTAACTGTGACATCAAAAAGGACATTTAGTCACAAAATTTTCAGATCTTCTGTCAGGTCCTCCTAGGTCTCTGACAGTGAGCAGGTTGCTGATGCTGTAAGCTAAAGCATCAAAGCCTCTGAATTATGTGGAGTTTTGCAAAGTTTTGGAAACCATTACTTTCACAGGGTTGGGTGCCATTGATCTCCCATAAGGAGGGTTGCCATCCTTTAAGCCAAAGTATAGCTTAGTTATTTCTTGAGTACTGCCTGACAGCCATATGACCCACCAAAACTGTTGAACCATCATCACGAGCTGCTTTGTTCTTCTGTGAAAATATGTTAGAAATTCCAAAGAAAGTACCCAGGCAAAGAGGTACCTAGTGGTGTCAGAAAAGATAATCGCCCCAAATCACCTGGGGTATGAACGTCAAAGGATTAAAGGAGTTGGGGGCTACCATAATGTCAAGACTTCAGAGACTAATACCACTGTAGCGGGAATGATCTGGGAGCAAGGTGAACTTAATCTGTAAAATTTCTGATGTAATACTATTTGTTGCTTATCCATTTGTTCAACACATCCTCATTAAACAACTCCTATATTAACTTAACCTAGCAAATATTTATTGAATATGTACTTTGTGCTAGGCATCCTCTAGGGTTCTAGAAATTTAGCAGTAAACAAAAATCTCCCATCTCTTGGAGCTTATATTCTAGTGGGGTAAGAATATACCAGACAGTGTGTATAGGACCGTAAACAAATAGATGACTAAAATACTTGTTGTTGTCAAGGAACTTACAGTCTGGGATAATGTAGGATGTTTTATTGTTGATACTTTAAATAATGTTCATTTTTGTGGAAACCTTTCCCCCATTAAACAATAAATGACCTTAAGTAGTTTATTCTTATGTATGACATAATATATTTAGATGTTATATTTCTTATTTCTTCCTAACAAGAAATATGTCCTATTTTACAATGAGAATTAAAGAGGAAATAAGAATCACTTGCTATAAATAGTTTCTTCCATAAGTTTTATCACAAATCATATTTTTTGAACAGCAGGTATCATTGATATGGTAGTTAAGGCCTAGATTTACATTTATCACCTGGAAATATGTGGAGAAAGTATTGATAAGGAGGTGAGAAAACTGTGACAGGCTAGATAAGTTGGTTAAGCTGAATCTCTGAACTCTGTCACTCTCCTCACGCTTGGACTGCTGCAGCAGCAATATAATGAAAGTATGGCATGATTTACCTTAATTAGCACAGCAATTTGCCTCACATTTTCAAAAAGTCCAAGTAGATGTTAACTCAAAATAGATTAAAATACCAGACAAATTGCTACTACCTTAAAAAGAGTTATAATTATTTTTTAAATGTAAATTATGGCTATACAGTCTTTAGAGAGAACTATAAAACACAATCTTTCTTATATTTTTGAAAAACCTGTGGCACATGCTTTTTTCCCCTTTAATCACAGTAATTTCTTCAAATGACAGCACTGTGTATTTCCTAAGGAAGGTACACTGCATTTTTCAAATCTTATGTGTAGTATTGGAGTTGCCATTGACAGTTTTCAGCAAGAAATTGAATACAAAATCCAGGTATTGTGGGGAAAATTATTTTTAAATCTTTATCTTTATATTTCATTTTTATATTACATGTATTTTATGAGTTGGAACAGAGAATAGTTCTTTTTATTCTAGCACCTGGAATTGAGCATGACAAAATGTCTGTAGAAATGTATATTTAGGAATAACACTTTAAAATGATTTTGACTCTCCTGGTGTCTTACACTGAACCTACAGCACCAACACACATAAGGAGTCTCTACAAAGAGGAGGTGAGCATAATTTTACTTCTGAGGAGTAAAATAAACATAATAAAAACATAAGTTTTATATTAAATTCAAAACGCTGTGCTACCAGGAGAGATTATAAGCAAAAGATAAAAACTTCCTTAGTGTGCATATGTACTTTTGCTGAATAACTTCTACCAACAAAGCACTAACAGAGAATATATGCATTTTCCTCTTGGCTTTGTTTTCTAGAATTTACAGAACATAGCTCACAAAAGGGTTGCCTAGAAGACACATTTTATCCACAGAGGATTACTGGTGCCATTTTTCATACAGCTACACAAAACCAACTTGTTATCTATTCTTACGCATAACTTATAAAAGCCAGAGAATTAACATAGTGCCATCTCTATTCTCAACCACAAGTATACCTTATTTTATGCAACAGATACAAATTGAATTTTGTATATCAAAAGATATATAAAGTACATTAGGAGGGCTGACAGAATACATTAACTCTGTACCATGAAAGTCTTTACTTAGGTGAAAAATTGTCCCCTAATTTATAGACTTCATAAATTTATATCTTCATGTATCAAGTTTGCTTGAGGTGAATTTATATGCCCCTTTCTGGAAAACAGTTATCACATAGAGACATTTTCTATTTTTAAAAAATTCCCTCTCCAAAACAAATTGCCTGTCAATCCTAAGTACAAAACTGTGTATAGACCCATGTGTAGACAGGAAAAGATGTACCATAGAAAAGAGTCCCTCTCTTGATGGTGAGTGTAAATGCTTTCTCTTCTCCATTCTTTTCCTGTTTGTTTTTAGCCAGTAGTTCCTTGAATGTGAGGTGACTTGGACTTCACAGATTTCCTTTGCAGTACCTCACAAATATTCCAAGGGTTCTCTCTGACCAAATGACTTCTGCTCTCCTTTGGTGAAAACTGCATTTTTCTGGATGTGTGTATGGCAGGAAGGAGAAAGGTGACCTAACTGCAGCATGAGGAACATCATTTAAGGGAAAGAGAGGGCTGGGGATTTAGCTCAAGGGTGCCGCCGCCTGCCTTGCAAGCCCAAGGTCCCAAGTTAGATCCCCGGTACCAAAAAACAAACAAAAAATAAATAAATAAAGGAAAGGGAGAATTTCCTGACACTGAATATTTTAAATCTGGATTACATTATTAAGAAAAGTTCTGGCATCTCCTCTAGAGAGCATAAGAAAGAATACATTATTCTTGTATATGAAATATGTTCTACAGATTACTTCTTGCCCTGTGATGATTTTGTTTTGAACATTACAACTGTTATCAGTGTTTATTTCTGAGATATCCCATATGTAGAACAATATTGATCAGCACGGGAAAATATAAATTGCCCTAACATATCATTAATTTACTCTTACATTCAGTGACCATTTCTTGAGTGTCTAGTACAACAAGAAGAGCTACCATTTAGGGGGCTTTCTTATGTCACTCAGTGCTAGACATGTTATTACATTTGATCTTTATAACAATCCTGTGACACAAGTACTTTTTTATCCTGTTTTTACAGTTGAAGAAATAAAATCTCAAATAAGTGAAAGCAGGATTCAAATATGCTAGTTTTGAATAGAGAAATATCCTGACAAAGATTAAGTATCATGAGGATAATGTTATCAGTACTAAAAAAATTAATTTGGACCATATTTTTCCAGCTCGCCCAGAAGGCACCATGTTGTTTCAGAAACACGCAGACAACCAGCCTTCATGATCATCATACTTCTAAGCAGGCTTTCAAAGCAAACAACAAGGGTTTCGTGTTGTTTTAGGTTTTTCCTGGTGGTCTCAGTTTTTTCAGTAATGAACATCAAAAGGGATGCTTGAAAATGTGCGTTCCAAGTATCTTCCTTAAGACTTTCGCAGTATAGCTTACTCAGTATAAATGAAATATTGATGTATTTGAAAATGCCCAAGTATTCAATAAAGATTTTAAATAAACCTACCTAAAAGTTGTGGTTCTTAGGTTAATCATTAATTTACCTAAAGGATGAAGGAAGCTGTCTACTTCTGTGATATGAACTGCAATCAGCTTAAAAATAATTGACAAATTAATCCCTTCACAGCACAGCAATTGTAAAGGTGTTAGTTTTAATTAGGCCTGTCTGATTGCCTTGTCTAATCAAGAATCAAGGTGGTATCTTTGATGGTTAAGGTCTGTTGGGGCCATCCCTGACCTGCCAGCCATGTATGTTTTAATTATTGATTCCTCACATTTCAGCCCTTTTCACAAAGGGACTTGAAGTTTGCAATGCCTTAACATTTAAAGGGAAGAAAAATAAACATTTTTCTAGCACCTCTATCTAGAATCCTGTGTATTCTTCCCCCCATTATACAGTATTTCTTCTAAAAAGACAGTCATGTTGATGAAGAATTAAAATCCACATTGGAATGTATTCTTACTATTTCCCCACATTTCAAGCACTAGAAGTTCAAAGGACATTGTTAATATCTTGAAAAATCACAGTCATTTATGTTTCTAAAAAACACATATGATTTCTTGAGATCATGTCCTTTTAAAAAAATCCATATGGGCAAATGTGATTCTGAGAAATCAGAGAAATCAAACAAAAAGGAGACTGGTCTTCTCACAAAACACTTACTCATGTTGCTAAGCAGAAAAGCATTGGGCTGCAGGTGTCATCAGAAGCAGACCACAGCATGCTGGCGAGGTTGGGCAGCTGCGTGGTGTTGGTGGTCACCTGAGCATGATGATGGTTCTTCTCTGGTTGCAGGTCAACGAAGTGACCGTGGAACAGCTGGTGCAGCAGTACCCCCATATCACCTTCAGCACTGTCCTGCAGGACTGCAAGAGGACCTTGGAGAGAGCCTATCAGATGGGCTGGACCCCCAATATGTCTGCCGCCTCCTCCTAATGTGCATGCCCACACATGGGTACACTTGGATCCTTCTGCGGGGCAGAGAAGTGTAGATTTGGAATGGGTGATCTCTTGGAAAGGTTTTAACTATCACCTGTCTGTGTGTGTACCAGAGTGTGTATATTTGTGTCTTGTTTGCCTACTGCATAGCATAAGCGCACTTGTTATTTGTTCCCAGGTGAGCTGACTTTTTTTTTTCTTAAAAATTGAAGATTATGAAAGCCACACAAAGTTAGTTTTTAAGTTTAAAGGCTTATTTCTTTAAACAACAATTTTTAATAGAGAGCCAAAGAATTGGACTATTTTGAGCTTCTGATTTCTGCCATTTTTAAAATGCCCAAAAAAGAAATCTTTCTTTTTTGATGGAATAGAATTGCGCACTTCAACAGGTCAGCCCAGGAGTGATGGTGTACTAATTGGAAGCCTGCAAATTAATGATCTTCAAAATTCCAAGCACATGTACACATATAGTTATTTACACTCTTAGATGCCCACACCTGTGGGTGTACAAACACACCAGGGTGGTTTCTTCATAAACCATTCCTGACAGAGGGGACTTCCTCCAGGCCATAGAGGGAGCACGTCATCCACTGTGGCACCTCCTAATTAAGTGTGTCCACAAGTGGGCAGCTTTCTGTCTGGTGAGTGACTTAGGGACTAGAAAGAATGAAGCCTTTTGTAAATTTTTTATATGGAGAAAACAATCTGAACTCCCTTGGCCAGCTCACAAAAATTAATTATTCATTATTCTACACATTCTGTTGAGTACTAAATATTTTAGTTGGTTTTACATTAATATTGTGTTAGCTTTTATTTTGTGGATAGCAAGTGATTGGGATATATTTTAGTGACATTTGGAGGTAATCTTAGCATTATCCACAATGAAGCCACCAATGTAATTAATGGTGTATAGTCATTTAAAAAAATCTACAGATCATTTCATTACTTTGTTAACTTTGATAATTATGAAGACATATTTCTGAGATTTGGGGTAGTCACATTAATAGACAGTTCATGAGTGAAATATAAGTAGACAATCTACTGAATTTTTTTTTTTTTGCTTTGCTTTGGGTTTCAGAACAGATTTTTGGATATATGCATGTTATCGGTTTTTTTAATAGTTCTTATGCTACTGCAAAGATCTATTGCTAGCTACTGTATGAGTTAAGAAGAAAATTAGAAAATCTGTTCATTAAGATTCTGTTTACACTTGCCAGAAATAAGTATTTTTGTTTAATTGAAGATTGCCAGCTTTTGGTTAAGACAGTAGCTATCAGAAAATGGATATGCATTTGATTTCACACATCTTCACAATTAATTCATTGTAGGTACTCAGGCTCCAATAAACTTTCCTATATCTAGATTTATAATCAAGACTGTAAGGAGCCTTTTTAAGCTAAAAAGTGATTATCTTTCATAGTAGAACTAAAAATAAAACCCTGATTTGTCAATTTGCTATTTATTCCTCCCGATGTGGGCATAACTGTTATTTTGTCTTTAACAGATATAAAGTTTGAGTTCATTTCCTATAATTCCAAATATTGTTAAAATGATACTAGCTGTAAGAAACAAAAGATAGCCTTACATATGAATGTCATTCATGTATTTATAGTGACTTCTTTTTTATAAACAACTGTTTCTTTTGATTATATCAACATATTTCTAATGTGACAATTTTTGTTTTAATTCCAATCAGTTCAGAAAATGTAGTCAGTAAACACTAAGGATATTTTCCCATAGCTAAATAGATTACTAATTTAATTTTAAGGGAGTAAAATTTGTGTGAGAAAAAGCTGTTTACCATTAATAAACTACATTTCTTCTTACACAGTGAACTGTGTCATTTTCATATCCATTTCTCCACCACTGAAAAATCTTATTTCACAACATTTAAATTGATTTTTAACCCAAAACTAATTTATAGGACAGTATGTATAGTAATAGTAGCTTCAGTGAATAAAAAATGTTTAATTTTATATATGTCATACTATATTTTAAATAATTTTAAAAGGGACAAAAGAAGGGAGAACAATCTATGTTATAGAAGGTATAATTTCAGTTCAAAGTTATAATAATCTTTGGAGTGTTACAGTTTGGTTGTCAAATGGTTTCAGAGTGTATAATTGATTTTTTAAAATGTCTCATTGTTTTAAATAAAGTACAGCACTAAAACATGCTTTAGCTTGGGGGTGGGATGGGGTGGGGACTGCACTTATTCTCTAAGATGTCAGCTACTCCAGAAAGCCTGATGCAACATAACCTGGAAAACTGCTTTGGTACATTTGTAGAAATCTGTAGACGTATCATTTCTAGCCTCAAAGCATTAATCTCAAAAAACAGCCAGGAAAAGCATCACTCTGAGTGATTCTGTGATGGTTGTTGAATGTGTTCTCATTAGATGCTTTAAAATGAGGCTTGAAATAATTTTTTTCTACGCAATATAGTTTCTTTTTCTTTCCTTTTTTCTGTTTGTTTGCTTAGCGTATCATAAATACATGTGAACATGTTTAATGCAGGGCTTTTTATCCTCTCCAAAATGTCAACAGTATTTTCAGAATAAAACCTATGAAATACATTGCTGTAGTGAAAAACTCTGGTCCTTTGTCTTTAATGTCTTTTTGAGTGGATAAAGAAAATCACCCAGTTTGTAGTTTCTATATTTCTGTGAATCTTTTGACCTTGCAATGGGTTGCAATAAAAGAGAAACAAAACACTGTATCTTTTGTTTTATTTTAGAAACAATAAATGGCCTCTCCTGTCCTTGTTGGCTGAGTATGATGCATTCAGTAGTCTCTGTCCTTGTGTGTTTTACTACAAACTTATGTAGGTTTGACTAAGGCAGATTAATAAACAACATTGCATTTAGGAGGTGCTAATTTGGCCAGTGATTACTGAGATAAGATTAAAATCTCAAGGGTTTCTACAAGTGAATTGTTTAAAATCCCATTCCTTAAATAGTCCCTCATTTACTTAGCTGTTTATTCAATTTTTCAAGGGCAAATAAATGAAACATTCATCAAATAGCAAACGTGTCAGGCACTGGGAAGTTGAAGATAAATAAAACTCACTCCCATCCTCAAGTTGCTCACAGCCTACCAAGGAGACATTCTGGGAAATCAGCAGTGCATGGAGCATGGTCCATGTAATAATGTGCAGAATAATGGGCAACACACCAAGGAGGAGCTTTCAATGCCAGGTAAAGGAGCAGAACTTCACAAACTTATGCTGGAAATGAAGGAGGGGAAATGTAGAAAATGGCATGAGACAGAAACACAAGTTCGGCGTGGGAAGTAGATGAGAAAAGACCCTGCGTGCCTAGGGAGAGCGAAGGTGAATCATAACTGTTCGTGGACTTGTAAGAAAGATCAGATATGCTAGAAAAATCTTTCTATAAATTCTTTCAACAAGTCAGAATTCAAATGCAGGACTTCTATTTCTGGTAATTTCATGGAATACAAATCCTGAAAGATTTATCGGCTATTTCATGTCTAAAAATGTGGAATAAAATTTTTTAATCCGTATTAAAGGATTGGATGTGATAGTGAGAAACCTCTGGTGACCAGGAACACTTGGAGCAACAGTCTAGAAAGAGGGTTAGCAAATACCTGGGCCAAACATAGCCAATGCCTTTTTTTGTCAAGTTTGACTGGAACACAATCACACACATTTGTTTATATAGTCTCTGGCTGCTTTCATTCTACAAGAGCAGAGTAGAGTGTTTGCCACAAAGAATATTTACCAGCTGGCCTTCTATAGTCAATTTGCCAAACCTGCTCTGAAGGAGTGATTTTCAAAGTGTGAGCTCTCTAACAATCACATCACCATCACCTAGGAACTTGTTAGAAATACAATTCCTGGGTCTCACCCAAGACTACTAAATCAAAAACTAAAGGTTTAAGGCCCAGCGATCTCTGACTTAGCAGATCTTCCAGGTGAATTTGGTATATATACTAAACTTTTATATGTCTAGAGAGATATCTGTGGAAACACTCAGAATATGATAGGCTATATTGACACCAAAACCTGGAGAGTGAACAGGAAACTGTTGGTCAATAACTAACTGGGAGTCAGATCCAAGTTTACCTCATATAAAGCCTAGATGCCTGAAAGGCTATACCTTTTCTAAAACACTAAACTAAAATAAAACAAAAATTGAAGGACACATATTTGAGAAAATCACCATTCTCGGCCTCAGCTATTAATGGATTTTTTAAAGACTGTCTTGCAAATTGATAGCCACTGGGTATGTATACATGGGTATAGTAACTTAGTCTACACTATTTGCATAGTGTTTCTGATAATTATATTTTTAAGAGGATTCATGTCAATAGTACTTAATGCCCAATGAAAGCAAACAAAAATCATCCCTGGAGAAAGGTAGCCATAATCCAGGCTTCAAAAGAAAGCCCACAAGTAGTGGCAGCAAATATAAATTCACAATCTAAAACCACAGAGAACATTCAGAAATAATCTAGCATTAGTAGTGTAAATCAGCAGAAATAACAATATACTCGCATCTTCAAATATTAAATTTTCAGATACATAATACAAAGTAAATGCTTGATATAAGTTATTTAATATGTATAAGAAAAAAAGAAACTACCAAAAAGTGAACAGATAGATTTTAAAGAACTTAAAATGAAAAATACAATAAATGAAAAAAGTAAAATGGAAAACTTGAGTAACAAAGGAAATGCAGCAAGAATAAATGAGAGGTAAACCTGAGTAAAGTAAAAAATAAAGTTGAACAAGAAGTCTCTTTCCTTTCTGAATAGATAGTTTATAGTTTCTGTATGGATGACAAAAGTTGAGACACAAGGACTTTCAATCTGCATAAGACTTTCAAACATCTATCCTTGCAGAAGGAAAAATACAACAGAGGAAAGGCAGTATTTAAAGAGATGATGGAGTTTCCATTTGTTTGTGAAGAAGAAGAAGACAAACAGGATTTGGAGGAGGAAGTCCAGCTTGGGGTGAATTAATTTGAGATGTCCACTAGACAACCATGTGGTATGTTGAATATGTATTTGTAATAGAAGTTCAGTTCAGAGGAGAGAGATATATATGATATATTGATGTCATTTAAATCATGAACCTTTCTAAAATCCTCACCCTTGATCATCATCCATTAGTTTGAATAGAAAGAGAAGAGGTACAAGTAGAGTGACTTTGGGCACTCCAAAATTAGGAAGTCACAGAATTGAAGAAAACTCATCATAGGAAACCAAAAAGGACTAATCCGAGAAGTATGAGGAAAGCCATTACTATGTGTGCTGTTCTAAAATCAAGGCAAGAAAATCAAGGATGTAAACATGTCGTATGCTACTATTAAGTAAGATGAGTGTTAAGAATTGACCATTGAATTTAACAACATAGATACTATTGACATCTTTGATAATAGCAATTTTTTTTTGATAATAGCAATTTTTAATTGTGTGGTGCAGAGAAAAGCTTTATAGGAATTGATCCAAAATCTATGAGGTAAGCCTAACTGGAATCTCAAAACCACACAATAATAGTATAAATCAAATCCATAAGCCAATCTCACTCATAGACAATGTAAAAATCCTAAACAAGCTATTAGCCAACAAAATGTTCTAGTTAGGTTTAGTCTATTATCTTGTCTAGTACTGCTAGTATTGTCTAGTACTATAGTGAAATATCATAGATTAAGTAGTGAACAGTGGAAATTTCATTGCTCTCACACTTCTGCATGTTTGGAAATCCAAGATCAAGGCCCTAGAAGGTTTAGTGTCTAGTGAAGACTCTTTCTTTTCATCCAGATAGCATTTGAACACTCTCACCTCATGAGACAGAAGGAGAAAAGGAAACCAAGGCCTCTGAGTTCCCACCAATCCTTTTATAAGACACTCATTCCAGCTATGGGGGAAGATCCCTCGTCACCTGACCACATTCTAATACTTTGGCATTGCAGAATAAATTGCAGCATGAATTTTAGTAGGGACACAACTGTAGAGCACAGCACATTGACAGAATAAAGTGAAAAATGATATGTGTGATTTTCTCAATAGAGATAATAGATGCATGCAAGCAAATTCATATTCATTCCTGATAAAGAATCTTTTTTTTTTGGTACCAGGGATCGAACTCAGGACCTTGTGCTAGCAAGGCAGGCGCTGGAACCACTGAGCTACATCCCCGGTCCTAAAGAGTCTTAGCACCTAACACAAGAAAGGAAAATCCTTAACCTGGTTTGGGTGTCTTTATCAAAAACCTAGAATAAACGTCACTCCACATTGAAATATAAAAAATATCTTCTCTGGCCCCCAGAGAAGAATGTTTGCTGTTATTACTACTTCTATTTAACAGAAATTGGGGAACTACACCTGCATAGAAAGATTCTTCCAGAATGAAACTAACTCTGAATTATATACAGCTAATAGGAATATCTACTGAGACAACCAACCTCCTCCGCAAATCTACAAACTAGAATTAACAAGAGAGTTTCAAAGATAGTTGAATATAATGTCAAGATATGATACTCATTTACATTTCTATGCCCCAATGGTGAGGTAGAAAAGTAACTTCAAAAACTATCTTTTGTAAAAGCAACAAATATACAGGCAGTATGGCTCATGCATAAATTATAAAACTGTATCAAAACACCAAAAACATATATAGAGTTAGCATGTTCAGTGACAGGAAGACTCAGATATTACATGGGGAGACAAAGCTCCATTGACCTCTTGCATTTCCACACATTTGCAAGCAGAGGTACTCACTCTCTTTCCTCTGGATTGTATTTTTAAGGGTGTTTTGTGATGAATAACCTTCAAACATAGTGTTTCCCTGTGGAACAAGGAGCAGACATAAGTCATGTACAAAATATTCACGTTTTGAAAACTCAGTGTTCCTCTTCTGTTTCACAAGCTCACATGTAGGTGTCCACACTTTTCCTATTTCTTCTGGGATTTTGACCTCAGAATCTGGATCAGAGAATGCTGATACTCTGGTGACTGCCCTTGCCATGAGTAATAAAGTCTTTTCTCTCTGACCAGGAGTCTCATGTCTTGAGAATCCCTGAAACTGTATTGAGCTGGTGCATGGGTTTGCAAGTGGAAAAAAATCTCAGACCTTTCCAGGTTCTTACCAGTTAACTCCATATCTGATCTATTAATATCACGTAATTCCAAACAAGATCCTAACAGGATTTTTTTATCAATCTTAACAAGCTTATTCTTAAATCAATATAGAAGGTTAAAAACAATCAAACCACATTTAAAGAACAAGGCCATAGAATATGCCCTACAGACATGAAGACATTATGAAACTACATTAATTAGCCACAGTAACTAAGATGATGTGATAATGCCTTAGGGATTGATAAATAAACCAAGGGATCAAATCATCCCTGAAACATACTTGAACAGTATAATGCGCAGTTAGCAACACAGATAAACAGGAAAAAGAGTGAGGACTCTAAACAATGGGCTAGTGATGCCTAAGATCCCTAGAACTTTCACCATACACAAAAATAAATTACAAATAAAGTAAAAGCAAATGTAAAAGGCAAAAATCTTAAGATTCATACAGGAAGATATAGGGGAATGTGTCAGCCATTATGAAATTAATATTTATGACACCTTGAAGAGAATTAAAAGGCAAGACACAGCTAGAAGAAAATACATGTAACACAAAAAGCAGAAAAGGATTAGTATCCAGAATATATAAAAAATCTTCGACAAGTAAGTTAAAAA